TACGCACACTTACACCTTCACCCTACAAGCAAAGAGGCGCTCTTGTTGAACACTGATGACAGGATACAGTTACCTCCACACATACACACACAGCATACTGTTACATTATGGCTGCAGCAATTACTAAAGCACACAGCATGTGACAAATCTTCCCTGCATTTCATGATCAATACTACTTTAGCACAGTTACCCTTGGCAGGAAAAACTGAGTTATCCACACTAGCAGCTATAATACAGGCAGAATGATGGAAATTATACACAGTAAGACAGTCGTTGCTGTTTTATCTCTAAACCAGAGGGACTATCAGTCACTTGCTTTAAAGTTTTGTTAACACAACAGAACTCCTCATTCTGAAGCTATTCTAACTTTACTGCAAGCACAGAGGCAGTGTTTTACATGAGTCTACATGAAAACAGTTGACTGTTATAGCAACTCGAGCTGCATGAAGCAGTTTTTTCATGATCAAAAAATGTGTTCATTATCCTACCTAATAATCAGGTCCTTGTTTGGAATATAAATCCCGAGGCGACATTAGTTTTGTACAACTAAGGCATCATAATAGCATACAATTGAGAAAGCAGCAAATGATCACACTGCAGAGACCAGAAGTAAGAAGTCTCTGGTATTTTCCCTTGAAAATGACAATTAACTATTACAATAGTCGCCAATTACCTTCCCTTTTCTGTTCATGGATTCATCAATCCATTGACTCCTCATTTAGCTGTAATAGTGAGCTCCTTTATAACATGCAGCCTCAGGTCTGATATCAGACGGTCAGCTTGACATTTATAAGCATAAACCTAATACAAAACTGACTTTTATAACAGCTGATTTTGAGGAGAAAGATTTGAGTTTGTAATCCAGAACAACTGAAAGCCTCACAATTAGGTGAGTCCTGTCATCAGCTTCTAGCATCTTGTCCGTTTGCAAATTGAACATACTCGACTTTAAATAGAAATTTGCATCGGAGCTAGGGCTGCACAACATATTGTTTCAGCATCAACATTGCGACGTGTGCATGTGCAATACTCACATCAAAGGAGCTGCGATGTGAAGTGAGGCGAATCACCCCAGACACATCATGCTACATGTTTACGCTGCTTGATAGGAAAGGAAAACTCACACAGGTCTCATTTTCCTCGACTAATCTACAAGAGAAGTCTGTCTGATAGAACACCATTTTCTCCAATTTAAGGGTTCTTGGATACATTTTACAAGACATATAAAGATATGCAGAGCGAAGAGCAGGAGAGGAATACTAAGAAAGGGTTGGTTGCAAAAAGAACTTCAGTAGTACACAAGGCAACATGACTAATTGGTTTAAACATTTAGATCTGCACACAAAGCTCTGCATGATGAGCTCAAAACCAGATGTGAATGCAAAATCCAAAGCAAAAAAACACTAGTTTGGATGCCTTTGTTAGTGTTAAACCATATGAGAAAGGCTCCAGATGTTGTTTTGAATTCTCTATGCAGACCTTACAAAATCACCCCAGTCATTTCCTCAATGATGAAGTAAAAAAAAAAATCCTGTATTTTCTTTTTATATTACAAAATACGTATCACAGTAAAAAAAAAAAAAAATTGTAATGTCACTTTTTCCCCTCAATATCATGCAGCCCAAACTGGAACAGTCCATGTCATGCACTCATACTCAAAGAGTGCACCAAAACTTGCATGTGTTTCTACTTATCATCAGCAAATTTTGCACTCACGTCCTCTTTTCACATTTTCTTAATTTGGGTGAGACGGCTGGAGGTCAACTGAAATAAATGAGTCACACACCAGAAATGATACACATTAGCTGTGGCGCACGCTCGAAGAGAATAAGACGGAAAATACAAAAAAAAAAGTGCTTTTTGAAAACAGTCTAATGTGATACGCATAAGCTAGGTAGGCCAAATTGAAAATAAAAAAAAGAGATATTCCATTACTGTAGGGGTTGATTATGGTGTTTGCAGCCCACAGGCTAAATGTAAGACCAGTTAAAGAATGGATGAATAAAATGTTATCGGGCTAATGGGCCAACTGAAATTACAATAACTGATAGAACCTGTTAGTGTTTAGTTTGTGAGCAGATGTATAAGTGCTGCATTAATGTGAGTTTGACTGAAAAAACCCACGCCTTTCCTTTGTATTCCTAATGATTATAGATGTGTTTGTGTATCTGTGCATGTCTTCCTTTGTATCTCTCTGCTTTTCATTGTTTACTTATTGTGCTTCCTCCATCTTTTTCCAAGCCATCTAATCCCATCCCACAATCAGCAGACTGTGAGGTGACAGAGGAGACATCGTTGTGATCGGTGTGTGTGCGTCTCTGTTTGTGTGCTGTACCAAACACAGGGTCTCTTTCTCCCAGAAATAGAGAATCGGATAGCTCGGCTGTCTGACAGCCTCTCTTGTCTCTGCGGTCCAAACACAGAAATGGAACAGATCTGATGAGATGTTCAAATGCCTGTATTTGTTCTCCCTGCTTTCTTCCTCTGTCTGATCGCGATATTTCTGTCACCCTTCTGTTCTCCTCTTCTTCAATGTCATTATCTCCTGAATCCTTTTTCTGTCTATCTGGTTTATAGTTATGATGAGTGTAGAATGTCAGTATGCTCAGTTTTTATTTATGTTCCAGGTTGCATACAACGGAATCGGGCCTGTTTTGGCATGTGAGGTGACTTTGGCCTGCTTGTCCTTAAAACATCTGTTAGTTGGGTAAAGACGGAAAGCCTTGTTTTTTGTGTGTGTGTGTGCATGGCGGTGTATTCCCCGGGGTTTTCGTGGTGTGTGCACCAGTCGATACTTCTGGCTGGTAAGTGAAGTCAGCCATTACTTCAACCTCACTGACTTTCTCTGCACTTGTGGTAGAGGACAAAAGAGATGAGTGGAAAAGAAGGAAACAGCGAGTACAATAGAATGCAAAAAGGTGCAACGAGAAGACACAATTTTCTATCAAATGTATATCATGTTTTATCAGGGAGGCTGGCCAACCACATAGCCAGAGCTACTAAATTGGGGAATCTAAACAGGTTAAGGAAAGTCGTTATTGGTAATCAGGATAATGAGGGCAATCAGTGCTTAAGGTGTTTGTCCAGATGATTTAAGCCTTTGTTAAGTGTGAGATTCAGGACTGTTGACACTGCTTTCTACAAGTAGTGTGTCAGAACCTAAACAGTCAAACCAAGACAAAAATCCACCATTATGTAGTTCTGATGATAAGCTAAGCTGGTCATTGTGGGCATTGAGAGTTGATGCTAAGCTACCAGATATCAAGGTAGTTTAGAGCTGCAATAGCGAGTCCTGCACCTCGACGGAAACAGCTCCATCATGGCTACAAGGAGAAATAACTAAAAAAAAAAGGTCTTCTGTGCAGTATGATATTAATTTCTTGCATTATTTATTTTGCAAAAAAAAAAAAAAACAACAACCCTGGAATTAAATTAGACAATATTTTCCAAGTGGCCCCAGGAGTTAAAAGTCATAGGAAAACATGGTGACTATACCCACAATATGTATTTTCCTATGAATATTTTAAATTTACTGTCATACTTGTCTCCTTTCTGCTCTGTTTAAACACGTCTATGAATTTTTGACATGTGGTCCCAGTTGAGTCACTAATGACCTCTCAGTTGTGCTGAAGAGCAGAGAATTTTTATTTAAAAAAAAAAAACAACAACTCTGAATCAGCAAATTATTTTTTAAACAAGACATGTAAAATAAAATGAGATATCACAGTTTTAAGGTTAACTTTTGGCTACTTGTGCGATGGAACTAAATGTCTTGCATGACTGGTACAAGAACTGTTGGACAGTTGAAGATGCAACAATTCTTTTTATTTTTACAGTTCCTGGCACGGACAAATAGTGTAATTCTGGTGATTTGGTTAACTAAAATAAAATTTGTCTTCAAGATAACAAGGCTTACAAACCTGCCTGCAGCTTTTGGGGTTCAACGGGTTAAATCCTAACATACATAAATGACAATGCAACAATTTTCATCTATATATTTAAAATGATCCTGTACATATTATAAGAAAAACATGGATGCAGCTGAAATCATGCACTGCACCACAGTCCCCCTGCAGGCCTCTGGCATTCTCTAGTGGACAAAATGTATCAGTACAGTCTCTTTTGGAAGAGAGTGAAATTGAATAATTTATTCATCCATCCATCCATCCATCATCTATACACCGCTTAATCCTCACTAGGGTCATGGGGGTCTGGAGTCTAGTCCCAGCTGACTTAGGGTGAAGGCAGAGGACACCCTGGACAGGTCACCAGACTATCACAGTTAGAGACAGACCAAGCACACTCACATTCACACCTATGGATAATTTAGAATCACCAATTAACCTCAGCATGTTTTTGGACCTTGTGGGAAGAAGCCGGAGAACCCGGAGAGAACCCACGCTGCACGGGGAGAACATGGAGACTCCACGCAGAAAGGTCCCGGGTGTCCACAACGGGACGCAAACCAGCGACCTTCTTGCTGCGAGGCAACAGTGCTAACCACTGATCCACCTTGCAGCCCCTAATTTATTCATATTTGTTTAATTTTTTAAACTTCTTTTCTTGATATGCTTTTACTATTTATTAATGTTAATTTGTGTATCTATTGGGTTGTAGGAGCGTTTAAAACAAGATTTTTATGTCTTAGTGTTTATCTTTGCATCAAATTATAGAAATATAACAGAATGAAGTCAAACTATTTGATATATAGGACAAAGATCAAAACATAGTCACACACAGTTTACCTCTTTATTTTTTAAATCTGTTGTAGCTCGGTAACCCAGGATGGTTCGAATGACATATTCTTTAATGACTAGAATCTTGAGCTTTCTGCTGCTAAGAGCTAACTTGAAGCATGATAGGGTAAGCTTAGAGGGGTAAGCACATTCGAGACAAGCAGTATATAAAATATCAGTGCCTGTACATGTTGTACATTGTGAACTGTTTTGGAAAAAATGCAACTGTGAGCAGAGAAAGTTCAGACGAGGTGACAAACTCACCGTAGACTTTTCCCAAGAACAGCGTCTTGACCAGGTTGAACTGTGTGTCTGAGGCCTCTGGGAGGTTGTAGCTGACTGGAGGGTAATGATCCAACTGAGTCCAGATAGAGAGCGATAGAGACAGAGAGAGGGAGAGATGGGGAGATAATATATTAGCATCTGCATTTTAAAGGGAGTCGAAAACTCCTGACCACAGCATTTTCGAAAGACCCAGGGTAAGATCTGCATCAGCACATTAAGCAAAGTGCACAAGATGATGAAGAAAAGATGGTAATTCATTGCTGTCAGGCAACACGGAGGCACAACACAGCATAATCACAAGCTCGATGGCTCCCTCTTGTGATTGTCAAGCGTCAGGGAAGCTCCAAACAGACCAGTGAAGGGAATTCATCGAATCATTGGCGGTGATTTTCATGAGTCAGAATCAGTTTGGCAACAGAACTGAACAACTAGATAGAGCAGCTAGATAATCTGGACTGAGCAGGACTTCCAGACACATAGTCTCTTCCGTACTTGTTTTAATGTAATATATTCAGCTATATGTGCCATGTATTATTATTATTTTTTTCATTAATCTTTTTAAATTGGAAATACAATAATGGGCAGATAAGATATTGCACAAATTTTACCCCCTTTTTTTCTTAATAGTAAAATAAATCCAGGGTCCTCAAAATGGGCCCAAACAACCAGAATAATAGAACATTGTCTCTGACAGCAATAATAACAGAATGCTATGCAACATTAAATAAATCAACACACATTAAGAAAAAAAAAAACGTATAACGAGTATATACAGAGGTATATGCAGCCAAAATCTATAGAGACAGAAATAAATAAATAAATAAATCTATAAATAAAATAAACCTGAAATAAGTCTTAAGTACAGGTGAGTAACAATAAAGTACAGTAAATTAGATGACATAAATGTGGTAAAGGGACATCTAGAAGGTAAATGAAACCAAATTGAAATAAGGGGAAAAAAAGAAAAAAAGGGGACAGAAGGAGTGCCATGTATTGTTAATGTCAAGTCATGAAATACCATTTATCATATACCAAATATACTGTTAAGGGTTTAGATGGCATCCCCAAACAATGAATAATATTTGAGTTGTAAAAATGACTCAAAACCAGAAAATGTGTCGTCATCTGCAAAAATCCACTTGTGTTGCATCTTTTTTTTCATCCTCATCCGTGAACAAGGATCTACTGCACAGGGAGTAATGTCTATCAGTCTACAGTGCATCGAATGTATGGGATCCATTCCAAAACACTTGACACCATCGTGGTTGTTCACAAACCACATGATGAAAGAAAACTTCTTATCTGTAAAGCTGTTATTTTAGTCCCCCTCCTCTTTTGTTTAGCCAAGCTACTCGTGGCTGAAAGCAAACCGAAAAGGGATTTTCCACAAAGATCCCGCAAAAAAAAAAAAAAGGCTCTTCATCAGCATTTGAGATAAATGATCACACAGTAATTAACAACACGCCATTTCTAATGTCTGCGGTGGGTTCAAAGCTTTTCCCAAGAACTTAAAACGGGCAGAGAGAGAGGGAGAGAGAACAAGCATCATGTTTACAAAGGAGAGCACCAGTGGAGATGTGGGAGCAGAGAGGGTGATGGAGGGAGGGAATACACGACTTTAATATCCCTGCAACATAATTAACTTGTTATTGCTGTTTCAGTGAAGTTTCTAATTAGCTTGAAGGCTGCAGCCGGTGCTATTGACAAGAATAATTTCAACCCCACAAATTGGTTTCTGTGTGTTCTTGAAATAAAAGATCTTTCCGTCTTTCTTGTCTCTCAGCCCACAGGAGAACCGTATCTCGGCGTACAGCGGTCCGCCGAAAGCGCGCCCATGGGCCGGGCCGGAGGAGGAGGGGAGGTTGATTGAAAACAATGACTTTTGTTACCGCGTGTTTTACTGGAAATTTGTCCTATTGATGTGCTGAATAGCTGTCATGGCCTGTTAGCTGGGAGCGGAGCTGGACTGTCACTAAAGGGCCGAGATTAATGTGTGTGTGTAGTAGCTCTTGTTTACAGTTTTGAATCAGTAGAGTCCTCCCGTACAGAAAATTCTCTCAACCCACTTCCCCTCCAGACTCTTTTTTCTCCCTCTCTCTCTCTCTCTCTCTTTCAACACACACACACACAGCATATCCTAATTTGATTCTTTCCAAAAGCCTGGTCTCGGCGGAGCATTGTGTGGGTTTTGTTTTCCACGGTGACTGGAGGGTGGGATAATGGGGCACAATTAAATTGCGCTCAGCTTATTTACTTTTATCTGAGAAAACAAATTGGCTGCACAACCAGGGAGGGCGGTTTGAGTCTTGAAACCCCACAAAAAAAAAAAAAAAAAAAGGAGGTCCACAGAGGGAGACAGCCAGGGAAGAAACCTCATTTTACCAAACTTTGTCAATTACAACCGCAGTTACTGGGATCCTTTTCCTTGTTCTTTTTTTTTTTAACGCTGCAACATTTAGGCAACACACTTCTCTCCTTTAAGTGCTGCTGGTGCCTCTTTGGTTACATAAAGCTGACATAAGCAAAGTAATCAGGGGTAGGACAAAGAGAAAATTAACAATGGGTGAAATCCATTTCCTTAACTACGTGCTCAAAAAGAATCTAATTTAGCCAATGTGCCGAACTCATTTAGAGTACAGTGAGAGCGTCTTACTTTGGCACATCGCTTTCCTTAATGATATCTGAGGGATGAAAACACTCCCATCACAGATTTAACACCGGGCGAGCTAAGTGCAAACAAGAGTAGATTTTATTGTTCCCTCGAATAAATACTTTACCGTTATTTTCAAGTGAACTACCGAATTATCGCCGCTGAACCGACCACAGCAGCAACTGGTGGACAGGGGAGGAGGGGAGGCGACAGAGATGAAATGACTGACGCCTGAAGGGACACCTCGCTTTCATCTCCACACGCTCGCAGTGTGAGAGAAAGAGAAAGTCAGAGAGATGGCGAGATGGGAACTTATTTTAATCTCGCCTTGGCGTGCCTTTGATAGCGCAGGAACCTAACGAGACCTCACAGGCTGCTCAAAAACACTCACTCCCATGCCTGTGCGTGCGTTTCAGCAGGTTTTTGAGCTGCAAATCTTTGCCTTCAAGAAAGGATTCTAAAGGGGTTAGGTAATCTAAATGCATCAAAGTGGCCTTTGTTGCCATATTTTTTTGGGGTCTACTATCAAAAGGCTGTTTCTTTCAATCCCCTCTTCTTTCTCTTTTGCTCTAATCTGTCTTTTTCCTCTCTGGCTAGCCTTTGTCTTACCACTTGTTCTCAGCAGCGTCTTTAAACTAAACAGTAGCTTGTCTAAATGCCTTTAAGATTTGCAGCCCTGATAACGGAGAAGCGGGACCTCTGCAGCCCGAGGTAAACAGTCCACTGCTTCTTACACTCTGGAAATTGAATTTGATCCGCTGGCAGGCCCACCAGCATAACTGACTTTTATTGCATCTGACTCATATCTCTGCCTCTCACTCATTCTGTTGTCTCGGATGAAAACAGCAGCAACAAGGCCCTTTGATGAGCATGTAGGCAAAAATAACAATAGGCTGGTTACGTTTTAAATGCTGATGCACGTAATGACAAAATTGGCATTTGAGGCTTTAATGCATAATGCAATAATCTGTGATCGGATTTCAGTCTGAGGAATTTGCAAGTGTACATTCCAGGACAGTGCCATTCAGCTGAAACATTCAACAGCAGTTATTGAACATCTCAGCATTTGTGTTTATATTATATACGAGTGATGACATGTCAAAGAACTTCCTTAAGGCCCGAATCTCTAAGTAACTGTCAGACTATAGAAACTAGTCTGGTGTACTGGAGGTTCTTAAACTAATATTTAAAACATTTAAATAAAGAAGTAGGAATAACAAAGTGAAAAACCAGAACACTGACATTAGGAACAGACTGATTGTCGGCCAGGCTGATTATTATGGCCGATATTTGGCATTTTCACGATTATCGGTATCAGTATTTTTATGGACCGATTATTGATGAATTAAATGGTCCGATGCAGCCTCCTCTCTCTGTTGGCTCAGAAATGTCTCTCAACCAGAGACACAACTCACACCAAATGAACAAAAAAACACTTGCTGGTGCCACAAACCAGGAAATCAGCGTCTCTCTCATTGTGGCTAAGGCTATGCTAACAGCTAGCGGCTGCGTTAAAAAGCAGCCACAGTTGAACCTGGAGCAGAGTCTGAAAAACAATCATTAACCATTAGGTGTCAATTAAAAACAGTCACACTGGGGTCCTTAAGGACAAAAACATCCACATCAAAAACAATGCCAGAAAAACATATATTAATATTATTTTTTTAACTTTCAGTAACTTATCTCTTTTGATCTACATCAGTCATATTTATGAAATATTCATTCATTTTTAGGATTTTAACCCTTTCAATGCCAGTTTGAACACATGATGTCAACAAACAAAACAAAAATAGGAAAAATTATTTATTTTCCATATATTAAGTGGAAAATTCTTTTTTGTTTATCACATCCTGGGATGTGTCAGTGATTAACAACAACACTGATTCATCAAAATCATCAAAAAACACACCACAAAATTATATATACTACTACTACTGTTCTCTACTTTCAATGGCTCATTTTGTTTCACCAGCACTAGTCCTGCTTATAATTACCAAATACTCATTAATTTTTTAAAAAGGTTTTTAACCCTTTCAAAGCCAGTTTGTTGACATTTTGTCATTGTTGTTTTTTTAATGAAAAAAAAGAAAAGAAAAGAAAAATCAGTTATTTTCTATATAATAAGTGCCAAAGCAAAAATTATTATCTTGATTATTGCAGGCTGGCAAGTGTCAATGATTAACATTGATTCTGATGCATTATCATTTTTAATGCAGTGTAACATCTTAAAAAAAAAAAAAAAAGGACCTCAAGGACAAAAATGGCCCCTCAGAAACCCACTATAACTGCTATTTTTGATCCTTCTGCCATTACATCATGAAATCATGCATTCTATGTTATTAGGCGTTCATTCAAACTTGTCATTTTTACTGTCTTCCACTAGATTGTGTCATTTTTCCACATTTGGCCGATGAAGCGAATCCAGCCTTTATTTGTTTTGTGGCTTCCTGCTACATTATAGAGCACTGCAGGCCAGCGGAAAAAATGTTTACAACTTAAATGGTTTGTGGCTGTTGGTAAGGGTGTCACAGTGTGGTGTGTAAGTGTGTAATGAAAAATGTTCATGTGTGTGTGTATGTGTGTGACAGAACAGTGAAAGATTTAGAAAACAGGGAGGAGCAGCAGACGTAACTGTAGGAGACAAACGGATCAATCTCAGTCGATCCCACATAAACTGAGGAGAGCATCCTAATTGAATCCCTCCTATTTCTATTTTAAATGTTCAGTTACAGTCAGTGTTACTAATGAAGAAGCGACAGGTTCTCTGCTTTTACATGCTGTTAGTACATTACATGGAAAGTGTATTGGATCCAAATATCAGTCATCTGTCTTTCTTGATTGCCAATAATCAGGAACTTATTATAAAATTAAGTTTTGTGATCCCTATTTAGTTATGATTTTTATTTTATAGTGCTTGTGCACATATAAGCAGTCATACGATCCACTGTTATGATACAAATATCAATTAAAGCCACCCTGAGACTGAATTTGAACATTCCGTGGCTCATCAAAGTGCTCAGGAGATGTACACAGAGATCTTTATCAGGGATTCTCTGAACTCAACTGAACACATCTGACACTTTTAACAGTAGAACAGCTCACTGGTGACTGATAGCACCGCTGACAGCTCACTTGTGATGCACAGGTACTTTAAATTCATCACTGAGATGAACTCACTTTAACGGCAAGTAACAGAAACAATCATGATCTCATCACTATGGGGTTAATAACAGGGTACCGACCTAAAAATGTAATGCTTTCGTATGCTGGTTTTGTACTGAAATGAGCATATCAGCTTGGGCTAGCAGCGGAATATAACAGTGAACTGAACCCAGAGAGAATCCCTGCTGAATGCTGCAGCAATTTGAAGTGCATCTGAATTGATGTGACCACTTAGCATAGGAAAAAAGAGAATGAACTACACAGTGAGTATCGGTGCCCTAGAGTGCAGTCTCTTTTCCTTCCCAGTGTGCCGAGGGGCATGCCAAGTACACTTTGGGTGGGATCAGAAAGAATACATTACAATACATTATAGGGAGGTGTGGCCGGTCACATTCATTACTTTCATCCCCTTTAAACACAGGGCAAAGTGATAGTTTGGAAATCCTGCGGAGAGTTTGTCTCAGAAGAAATTGTTGTTGCACGAGACGTGCAGAGGTTCGAAATATGAAGACTGCAGATCAAACTGCACATTCAGCTACCTGCAGTGCGAGGCTTTATTGGCATCTGCATTGAAATAAAACGCTTTCGCTTCTACGTACGCTGTAGGAGGCAGACTGACAACCCCCGTTAGTGCTGTCTCCTTACTACCTAGTCATGCTCAGTATTTTCTTTTTGCTGTTGTTATCCTCCTGAGCAGAATATGTCCTGTTCCTCACTTCTCATTAGTGTGAGTTATAGTCATGGTCGCCTGCTAAAAGTAAATAAACTACTACTAAAAACCCTCGAGGTTATGTGAGAAATCAGGGGGTGGGAAGTATGGAGAGATAGGAGGAGAGTATTGGAGTGGACAGATGAATTAGACTGAATAATGCTGATTTTTTTACTTCTTCTTTTTTAGTGTAGCAGTGTGAAGCTTTTGTAGCGAGTCAACCTGACAGAATCTGACTCGTGCACGCGTGTCTGTTGGTATGCATGTCCACATCTGTTTACTCGTGGATATTAAGCACATGTTTGTACCTTGAAAAGAGCCCCGAGGCGATAAGGCAACATGAAAAGTTTTTGCTCATCAAAGTTATCTTCGTTAGCACACCTCCTGGCTCTACTTTTCAATCCCTATCTATAAATTTCATCTATTTTTCTCTCTCCATCTCTCCCCCACAGTTCCCTTGCTAATGTCTTTTTTTTTTTTTCTTAAGTCCAAATTACCACATCATGCCCACCAGTGTTCATCTTCGCTCTTAACACGCTTTAATGTTTAAGTTTTGAATCATTAAAGCATTAAAAAATAATAAAAAAACAACTCAAAAGATTGTTATTTAGAGTAGAGCCTGGGCATCTCTGAAGTGCTAAACTGGGAATACACACTTGGCAGTTAATAGTTCAGTCACACGCACTGAACACTGGGATGAACATCAATATCTCCAATCCAGACACAACCGAGCCAGACACAAGCAGTGAAATCACAGCGTGTGCACGTATGCATGCGCGCGTGCGTCTGACTGATGAGCAAAGGATCTTACAGTTGCTCCAATCACTTTCTGCGCCAGTAAAAAAGGGATGTGTTACGCTGAAGCACTCCCATCGGAGTGATCAGCGACTGCAGGATGTGATTTGCTCCGAAAATGAGGACGATTTCCATTGGATGTTTCGGTTTAATTTTCTTGCTGTCTGAATTTTTCACTGTAGGGTGTGAGCGTCGGTGATGAGATTCCAGGATGGATGTGCGTGCGGTGAAAGACATCCTTTCTCCCAGAGGTCTGCGGACTTAGGTAGAAGAGGAGATGCAATGATTAGAGGCTTGCGAGAGTGTTGTGATATATTGTTGCCTGCATCTAATTTCACGTAATGAAAGCAGCGCTGAAAACACTTCACTTGGTCCGAGGAGACGGTCGCATCTTCTCTGACATCAAAAGCCTAAGCTCAATATTCATATTTAATTGTTTCACTCATTTCCTTTTTGCCCACATGATCTAAAAGTGTTAAGTTAAACCTCCTGCAAACATATTGATCACATTCATATTATATGTTCCTGGAAATGGGCTGCAAGGTACTTGGTGGGTAGCACTGTTGCCTCGCAACAAGGTACAAGGTACGCAGGTTTGCGTCCTAGTGAGGACACCTGGGATCTATCTATGTGGAGTTTGCATGTTCTCCCCGCGCAGCGTGGGTTCTCTCTGGGTTCTCCGGCTTCCTCCCACACAGTCTAAAAACATGTTGAGGTCAATTGGTGATTCTAAATTGTCCGTAGGTGTGAATGTGAGTGTGCTTGGTCTGTCTCTAACTGTGATAGACTGGTGACCTGTCCAGGGTGTCCTCTGCCTTCGCCCTAAGTCAGCTGGGATAGACTCCAGCCCCCCCGTGACCCCAGTGAGGATAAAGTGGTGTATAGATAATGGATGGATTGATGTTCCTGGAAATACAGCAATTAAGTGCATTATCTCAACAAAGCCTCTCTTCATGCTCTATAGCTGCTTGTTTTCTTAACTTTGTGCAGTTGTGTGCTGAAAAAGCACCATTACATTCCCTCAATTAAATCACTGTTGCTTCACATAACTACAAGTATTTATTGTATTCATACCATGAATGTAATGATAGAGTAGAAAGGATGAAAGTCCACCGCTGGAGAATGAACAGACAATGAACATAGTTCTGAATGTAAGCAAACTGCTGGAAAATTGCTGCATGTTTTATACAAAGTTACACACAGAAGCTCTGTTCAGCTATTTCTCAGAGAGGAAATGAGTCAATTCAGTGTCAATTTAATGTTATAACTCCTTATGGCCACTAGAGGGTAGATGGTCTCCTCATGAGTGACTCAGGCTTTGTATCTAAGAAATATAAATATGCTCACTGTGTAAAATAGCTGAACTATAGAGATGTAAATCAAATTTTTAGAGTATGTAACACTTACAAAGCACAAGTGTCACTCTACAAATTCACAGTACACGATGTGCAAATATAGTATTTAAATTTCTAAATTCGACAGAAGGCCATGCATACAGAAATTTCTTGCTCACATCAAGAATCCAAATTTTTTACTCTTTCTCTTTTTGGATCTTATTTTAAAAGACAAGCCCCAAACTATTCATGCAAATACAAATGTATTCAGATCTGGATGCAATCAACCAGTAGCTTTTACAAGTGGTTGCCATCCATTTAGAGTCCTCTTTGAACTCGCAGCCTGCAGCCAAATTTGAGCATCTCAGCCCAGAACAAAGTCTGTAATAGTTTAGCTGAATTCTCACTCCATCCCTGACAGCTACCGACTAAAGCTCGGCTGTATTGATCTGCACTAAGCTGTTCGGCTGCACAGAAAAACACTCAAGAGCACAAAAAAACACACACACACAATGCAGATACACACACAAAAGCGTGAACACATGCCGTGCACACACACACACACACACACACACAGTCTCTCCTGAACTGTATCACATACCCTTAAATATTTGCACACAAGCAGCGGCGATAACACGACCGCATACACTCATGCAAACGCACACGGATCGATGCACTTTCTGTTGCTATACTTAGGCTGTCTACTGGAAGTAGATTAACAGTGGCAAAGGACAAGCAGTTTCATCACAGCAGAAGACAGAACAGGACACTGCACTCCCCTCTGACTTATTGGAAAAAACGAGCTAACGCTGGCTGGGCTTGTGTGATTGTGTACTTGTGAGCGAGCATATATATATATATGTGTGTGTGTGTGTGAGTTTTTTGATGATCCCTGTGCTTCGTGCTTTCCTGTAAGTGGGATCTTGAAGTTGAAGGTTAAGCCTTGTTTTGAGAGTAAAGCCTAGAAACGATGTGCTGCAGAGTGTGTTTGTGTGTTTGTACCTGGATGCTGATGCTTCTGTTGAGACGGGACATGTTGATGCTATGCGGCTGTCCATTGGCCAGGTTGCGTTGGTCCACATCGATAGCAAATGGCTCCCTCAGACCGCCCAGGTTGTACCGCACCTGCAGTGAACCTGAACGCACACAGGGCAGCGGTTTAAACCTGCGTTATTGTGTTTGATTGTGTGCATAAATTCTGATACACTAGATGGCGCTGTCAATTTCTGTCAATGACGGCCTTTAGATGTGCTGCACTCCTCACTAATGAGCAACAGTAAATCGTCTGCGTACGCGTGTGGATCTTACCGTTCTCTCTTAACACCACCGCCAGATAGTCCTGCGTCTTGGAGCTGACATACATCAGAATAGCCGGAGCGTTGGACGTGCTGAAACTAAAGGCCACGTCCTCCTTTGTTAGATTCGCTTCATACGGCGTCAGCTGGTGCGTCACAACCTTCGCGTCCTTACTGGCTCCTGCAACTGCTTCGGGCATGAAGTTGTACTTGATCAGAGTTCCCGCTTCAAAGAAACCCCCGACATCTGAGTGTGAGAAAAAAACAACTCAAATTAAAAAAATATTAATCCACATCCAAAATAGAATGCAAGCTGCAGCATGTGTGCCTAAAAAGTTGAGCAAGTAGGGAAAATACAGCAAGAAAGAAATAAACCTTCCATCAAAAGCGAGTCACAGGGAGCCACACGCAATCTCATACGTGCAACGACACAACAGGGTAGATGTATTATCTGGCCAGAAGGGAATAACACACACATAAATATGGCTGTGTTCAGAAGGTGTAGTAAGAGGGTGTTAAATTGCTCTGCTCCAGCATCTAAAAACCAAACAATACACTGTTTACCAGCACATTAACAAACCTAATGGCATATTTCAACCATTCCAGGAGGCTTATTGATTCTCCTAATCAAATGTTGAGAAGAAGCGACCTTATTTTTCTATAACCTACTTTCTGTTATGCAGCTTGTGTTTATGCGCGTGCACCATGTCTCAGTTAAAAAGGAGATAAAGGCATAATGCGCGTGAAATTACAGAGAATAGATTCAGGGGAAGCAGGGAGAATCAGATTGTGTGAATGTGTGTGTTAATGCAATGGAATATGCCTTTACATGTTCCCTCTGTGGTAGCAGAAATGTGTAACTACACTCCCTTACAAGTGCAGAATTCCAAGCGAACACATTTATGTATCTTATTTAAAGCTTCACTTCACCCATCGTCTCCCACCGGACGCAGTACAATAAATACTTCAAGCTACTTAAATTTAATAGAGGGCTTATTACTAGAAAATGGGCAAATTCTCTGACTGGTATTGTCGTACAGGCGAACCCTCGCCTTCGTTCAGGTACACCACAATTTTATCCTTTATTCTGCTGAGCACTGATATAGTTTCAAGCCTCAGAAGTCTGGAGAGACCCATTTTATCAATTGTTTTGTATTAACCAGGCAGAGCGCTTTGAAAGGGTCTGCTTCTTGCTTGGTTTTTTCTGATGCGGCTGTACTGTTCGCTGCCAATTCGTGCTGCTGGGTGTTGACTGAATAAGAGCTCGTGCCCTCTTTGTCCTGAGTATGGACAGATGGTCAGATCACCACCAGGATTAAATCAGATAAAGTGTAATATTTCTGTTGGTGAAGGAAGCTTGACAGAATTCGTTAGATTAGTTAGGAAATAGCATGTGAATAAACAAACAACGAAACAGATTCATGTGGAATAAATCAAAGAAAATAAAGTTTTCTCTTTAAATCACACATGAATGACTTTAATGTCGTATGTTAGATAAGATAAGATAAGATAAGATAAGATAAGATAAGATAAGATAAGATCTGCCTTTATTAACCCCACAATGGGGAAATTTGCAGTGTTACATCATATGCATACTGACAATAAAAGGATTCTGATTGTCACTGATTGAGGCAGAGTGCAGCATGCAGAGGGCAGGGAGACAGCACTGCTCATTCATGGCGAAGCATCAAAGTTCAGAGGGCCACGAAAACAATGTTTGACGAAAACTCACCATTTTTTGGTATGAGTCATCATCAACATCTAAAGGCTCACAACAATTGAGGTCAATACGGTTAACTGGCTAAAAATAGCACATAAAAGTGTAAAACATGTTCTTTCCTATTGCCAGCAGGTGGCGCTACGACTGTGAATGGATATTGGCATATGGATTTCATCTGGGCAGGACTGTGATCAAGTATGTAAAGTTTGAGGCAGATTGGAGCATGTACAGGGTAGTTAGACATCCTTCCTTTTTGATGCCGAATGACCACAAATCAGAAGGCCGTCACGGCCGCACCCTTCAACGAAATGCAGAGCTTTTGATAATTTTTTACCTTCAAGGTGTACTCTACATGCTACCCGAATTTCAGCGCTCTGTGACTTACCGCCCAGGAGGAGTTTGCTCAGGGTGGCGAAACGAACAATCCAAAATGGCGGACTTCCTGTTAGGTTAGGTGAATGGCCACTGCTGGCTTTTTTCTGTGTCCAGATGTGCTGCATATGTTTACCAAATCTCATGGATGTAGGTGAAACCTGCTGCCTGTAGTAGATGTTACAAATGTAAAACTAATGCAGGGGGTGCTATGGAGCCATTTTGACACATGTGCTAACGACCAAAAAACATTTTCGCCAGTCCTGATGTGTGTGCAATTTTTTGTTTAGGCCCACAACAACGCGTTAGTTTTGTGCAGAGAATAATAATTCCTTGCATTAAAATCGGGTCCTATTACAATAGGGTCCTATGCACTGTAGTTCTCAGGCCCTAACAAGGAAATACAACATGTACTGGTGATTCTTTCATATGCGGAAATTCAAATTTTTGCACAGACATTGCACATCTGGATGCAGAAAATAACGATATTTCACATATGCGGATAAACAATGATATGGCACAGTTTCTTGTATATGTATAAGAAACTGACATTGTGCAGAGTTTTGTACAAAATATTCATAATGCACTGGTTTGATGATGTTGCTCCAGAGTGAAATATGACAGTTTTTCTATGTGTGGTCTACTGGGAGCGGTGCTGGTTGTACAGTCTGACAGCAGCAGGAAGGAAGGACCAGTGGTATGTTTTCGACACATACTAACGGTGAGGCAGCCTGTCACTGTAAACATGACATCTCTATTTGGAAGACGGTTCAGACAAACAAACAATACATTTTACTGTCAATCCTCGGCAAATGTGTGTTTTAATATGTTTTATTTATGAACATACATACAAACTATATTCATCGTTAGCTTGCAGCTTTAATGTGCTTTTCAGTAAGTAGGAAATATCAGATTGTGCTACCATATTTCATTCTGTTTGGTCATTGCTGTTATATGTTTGTGAACCATAATTAAAGCCTATCTCATTGATTAAACTCCTAAAAACTCATCTCTGTGTATCCGATTGACATATTTAGCAGTTATTTCCCCCCATCATAATAGCCCTCTGGTGCCTTAAAATAGCTCATATGCAACTTTACACCATCGCTTCATCTCGAATGTGCAGATCTTTGAAGTCCCCACGTCCCAGTGAGTACGGAGGCATTAGTGATCACTCACGCCTCCCTACTCACTGCAGCTCAAGCACACCAGCCGGCTCAAACCCTGATACTATGCTGCACTATGACAAGTTGTATTGTTGGTGTAACTCAGCTACATATGTTAGAGCTGGATGGCTTGCTACGTATGAAACCTCATGACGAGTCTTCCAGCATATAAAAGCACCATATGGAGATGTCAGATCAGTCATATTCAACCCTATTCTAGACTTTTGGGGTCTTTTGGACACCAGACCATTTGGTTTAGTTGACAGGTATTGTTTTTTAATGATTGAAGATGTTTTTTAAATATAAAAAAAGGGACATTTGTCATGCATTTGAAACCAAAAATATGTCAACGTATCAGAATTTTTTTTTTTTTAACATAGTATAAAAGTCCATAATGAATACCAACAAATATTTTGCACATATTCTTTCTTGGGGTCCAATGGATCCCAAAAGAACTTCTACGTATGGCAACATGAAAGTCCTGAATAGGGTTACTACTGCATAATTTAATCATCACTTGAAAGGTGTCATACTAACAAGCTAACATGAGATTCCTCAGTTCACCAGCCACATGTGGCAATTAGTAGGTGTAAATAATTATAGCCAACTCGATCTTCTTTGTGTGGTGACCCTGTTAAACCTGCTACATGATGTGTTAATCTTCACGCGATGAACGCTTATTATAAGTTAGTTGGTAAGTTCCAATTTACGGAGAGCTTGTGCAAGTGTCCTCATTCTTGCTATTATCTCAAGTTAAAAAGCTAAACATTCCTCCATTTTTCTTTTATTCATACAAACTGTAGATTATTTGGGGGCTTATGTGTTGTTTGCTTCGGCTTTTTTTTTATTGTTGGCGGAAAAAAAAAAAAAAAAGACTAACTCGCTGCCCAGAGCTTCTGCAGCAACACATACAATTATCTAGAAGGATATGAGGGAATGAGAAAAGCTCCATAGCAGGAGCTCTGCATATGTGTGTAATTTATGTCAGTGTGTGAAGAAGTTGTGGAAAGGGAATTTGTGCAAGCATGCACAGGTATTTTTTGTATTTTTTTTTGTGAGTTTCTGTGTGTGCATGTGTTCATTTATATGTATGTACATGTGCACACTGGCTCCATGTGACCCTCAAGGGCAGAAAAAGCAAAAGAAAGAGAGTGTATAATAATACTGCAGGGTCCCCTGAGCAGTGTGTAAATATGGATACAATGGAAATGCACTATGCAATTATGGCTGACTTCATGCATTTTTCACTCGCTGGGAGGATGGAGAGAGAGAGTGGTGGATTAAAGAGAGGGAAGGGGAAGAAATTTGGAAAAGAACAGAGAAAATAGGAAAGGGGCAATTGAGAGAGAAAGGAGAAAATAAGAGGGCCTCGGAAAAAAATGAGGAGGAAGAATAGGTAGACACAACAGGAGGGGGTGTACACTGGGAGCAAAAAAGAAAAAAAAAAGACCAAAGAGAAGGACAGGAGAGAAACAACGAGTGAAAGGAGAAGCAAAAAGTACAGTAGAGCGATGGAAAAAAAAGAAACATGGAGTAAAAGAAACAGACAACGAAGGGAAAAGTCACATGTCATGCATAAAAACAAACAGTCACAAGGGTGAGCTCTCTCCCTTTATTTTCCTTTTCTCTGACACACACACACACACACACACACACACACACACGCGCATAGAGACAGTAATCTTTATTCTCTAAATCCTGAAATGCCTGATTGGTTATGACAGAATTCAGAGGAGGTCTTTTCATGTCTTACACCAGCGTATCACCACACACTGTCACCCCTCTTCCACGCCACACACACACACACTCGCGCCGAGACACACACTCTGCTTTTCTGTCATCTTGTCACCCCCCTGCCAAGAGCACAGGGGAAAAACACCATTCGACTTTAGGAAACAAATTAATTCACGTGTCGGGGATCAACTCTCTGACTGCGAGCTAGCAGAAAGCCTCTGACAGCACTGCCGCTCCTCTCCCTGGAGTATTTTACCAAAACTTGTTTGGGGAAGTCGAACTTTAATTGTGTATCTAATGAATCCCTGTGAAACAAACATGACGCTTTAGCGATGGCGCGGTAGCAGAGCCACAGTGTGACACTTCTTGTCTGTGATCTTCAAAAAACCTAAAGCTACCCACCTCTTACTGAAGTCACTTTTATTTTATTTATTTATTTATTTTTAACTTGATCTCTCAGCTCTGCATTTGCACAGCATCAGCATTCAGCGCCTGCACTCTAAAAGTCAGGGAGAATTGGTGGGTAAGCACAATATCACTCTCAATCGATGCCTTTTATCATAAGCCCAAACACATTCAACACCGACAGCTCCAAAGTGAATGGGAAGTGAGGACAATCACAAAGCGCGACAAAAATCACAGTGGGTTGTCAGGCAATGAAGCTCATTGAAACCTAACGACTCCAGAGGTAATCCTGATGCTGTTTGACTCTGGGCTTTGTGAACTAAAAGAGGGACTACAAATGATGACATCTTTGCCAAATCCGCCCGTAAAAGCCATCGGACGAGTGTTAGCCAAGAGATTACGGCTCAGCGTGCCAGAGAGGTAGTTTGGTAGGTTTAAAGAAGGTCCTTTTGGATACCTTAGAAAGTTAGAAAAAAAAGTACAGGGGAAATGGAACCAAAATGGCATAAAAAATACCTCAAAACCCCTACAGGGAAAAATTGCTTTGTCTTGAAATTGAAGTTTGGAAGATGCATTTTCCTAAATTGCTTCTTACCTTTTGTGCAGAATGGGCCGTCGTAGGCAGTTTCGGTGCAGTCACACAAGTAGCCGTTGTACCTCTCCACGCACTTTCCTCCATTCCGGCAGTACATCCCGAAGCTCGTACAGTGGCCTTGGCAGCCGGGCTTGACCCCGGGTGTGACTTCGGCCCTCTCTTCCAGATCGAGGGTGATCCCATTCATTCGTAAGGCCCTGATGCAGCCGAGGAACCCCCTCTGTCCCCCCGCAGCACCTGAGGAGGGAGGCGTAAGAGAGAGGAGACATCAGTGTAGCGAGGGTGCGTCGGAATGGGAGACAAGAAAAACAAATAAAGAGAAGGAAGGGAGGACAAATGGAAGTCAGGGTCACGGAAGTCGTTCTAAATGCAAGAGGCTCTGTTTTAATCTGTTTTTAGAAACGTTAATATCCTAATGCCTGGAGGAAGGCGCTGATGTCACGTTAATCGTTCTGACTGTGACGCCGCTCTTGAAACAACCTTCAACTCGTTTGATTTCTTCACTAATTAGAGTCAGCCTAATGAACACTGTGTCTTAATGAACACTTCGTGAGCGCACGCGTGCAAATGGACGCACGTAAACTACATACTACAGCCCGACGCACGCATTTAGTAGCATCAAACCACACACGGCGCACCTGATTTGAATGAGTCAATACAGGCATTAATGCTTAGCCTTGGGGTGTCGATAGCCATTCCTCTAAAGTGCTTCCATCGTCATTCTGGCCTTGCACCATTACAGTCTAACTACCCATTAACTTGGACAAAGTAGGGGTGTTAAATAGATTAATGTGCACCTAAATGACTATAGCAATAAACACACTCATAAACATACACCCACAGGTATAGATTCAAACGTACACATACAGAGGCTGGTTACACCGTATGGATAAACGTATACGCTCATGTGCACTATTATTAACAAGAGCCGAGGGGCATTTTAGTTATTAAAACCTTTTAATTGCATCCTTTTGCTTACAGAAACGTGTCCATTCGAGATGACATTTAAAGGAGATTTCTCTTACAGTTTCCGACCTTCTTCCTCCACACAGGTACAATATAGATATACTGAGATTACTCATAAATGGAGGTTCTCTCTTGGAAATACATCATTCGCATTTCAGGATGCAGCTGGGCTTTCACGTGCTTCCTTCCCTTTTCTAGTTAGACTTTTAGTAGACCTCTTAATTAATCTATTTTGTACCGCTGATTGGCTGGAGGTTTCAGCCACCTGTTTACTCAGGTTTAAATCAGTCTCTGATTAAACGGACAGCAGGCTCTGAGGCCTGCCGAGACCGGGGCGGACACGTACACACACACACACACACACACACGCGCACACACACAGGTACATACAGCTTCACTCACTAATGCTGTGTAATAGAGCCTGACTGATAGTGAATGGAGTCAGTATTGGCTCATCACAGATACAGTTATGTGAAAACGTATGTACAACTGGAAATTGTTGGCTTTTTGTTCTGTTTTTTTAGCCACATTTGGAAAAGCAAACATTTAATCTCCTTTGAAACAGTGGCCATATAGTAAATGTGACGTATTCAAGCAAAACGCCTAAAACTGTCATTTAAATAAGCAAAAAAACTACAATCTGCAATCAGAAAGAAATCGCAGAAATTTGGCCCCCATGTGAGGTAACCAGGAAAGAACGGACCTGACAGCAGCACTGTACAGTTTTGTCAGTGAACAGACAGGTGAAGACCAAGTCTTTTGGAATAATGTTCTCTGGACAGTTGAATCAAAGCCAGACTTGTGAGGACACAGTAACAGCAGATATTTTGGCACAGACCAAAGACAGCTTTTCAGGAGAAGAGCCTCACCCCAGCTGTGAAGCACGATGGTGGAAATGTTATGGTTCGGGGGGAAATTTTGCATCGAAGAGTGGGCAAGAAATTCAGCAAGCCAATTTCAGAGACTGTTGGACAATTATGCAAAACGCCTACAAGAAGTTATTTCTGTTCTGGCCAAGGGTGTATTTAACTTTTCACAGAACTTTGAACACAAATATCTAATAATATCTCTTTAAAAAAGGTAATTTCATTCAGATTTACCACTTTTATCTGTTGGCAATGTTTCACAAAAAGATTACATTTAAGTACAAAAAACATCCAACAATTTCTATGTATTTACGCTGTATATCTATTTTGGTGGCACCTTATTGGTAAAAGGATTTTTCGATATATAAATAAATGATTGAAAAAGCAAATTTTGCTGGTGTTTGTGTTCAAATTTACCACAAAAATCCAACAAATTCCATTTATCGACACGCTGGCGGTGAATTAAACAGTTTATAGATTTTCCTTTTCATGCATGAGGTCCAAGTTTCCTAATTAAAGTGAATATAATTTGTCTTGTGTCTATCCAGTTGCCATAATTGTTGTGTTTTAATATACACTTTGATGATTAAGCTCAATCACTACATTACTGTATATAATGTTATATTAACACAAAACGTCTGCACAGTTATCTTTTGTTGCAACCAATTTCGAGGGACCTTTGCCAAAAATGTTCACGTTAGTTACGTTTAATTGGCTGCTAAATCATTACCAACAGCTTATTTTTCTTGAATATCATTTTAAGTATTGGTCAGGCTCTGGAATACACACATGTAATGACACACAATCGCATCAACACACGACTGCACAGGAATACTGACACAGAACATCAGATACATTAGCAGCAATAAGAATGAGACACACACATAGCATGTATATGCACCTATTTGTCTGAGAGTGTAAAGTGTGCGTGTCGAGGGAACGCTACCCTTTAACGATGTGCTAATGGGAAAACATTTCATATTCATTAGGATGTTCACAGCGGGCACGTACATGTGACATGAAACAGCCACATTCCTAATTAAAAGAAAACCAACGCGTGAACTTCTGGCTTTCAGTGAGGTTGTGCTGGTGTCGATTCCACATGTACCGAGAAAAGATGTTCACTAATGAATAAACATGCAGCGTGCACTTGTATACCGCAAAGCCAGTTGACTTAAATTATGAATGGCAGTATGTACTGTAGGTAAAGTTCTGCTGCCAGCCTGATCCAACCATTAGGATAAATTTCCAATTTACACAAACAGGCTGCATATCTGCCGCGCCGCTCTTCTTCCATTATCTTCGTATAAGCGGGTTAATAGAATGGCGGTCTGTCTATTTCTGTCTGCTTGTCTGTTTGCTGTTCAACATTAACGAGATCTTCAGCACAGAGCTTCCCCCCAATCTGTGTTTATTGGGGATGCATTTTCAATTTGTGTTGGTTGTTGACGGGTAGTTTGATTCATAGGGTCCAAATGTCATTTCAAAAGCTTGTCTAAGCCACTGGCATTTCCACGCGGCGTCATCATAGAAGTTCTATATTACTAGCCAGATGCTTTACATCTGTTGGGTTATAGCAGTGTTTTTCTTCAACTACCTCTCTTAAAGGTTGATAATGGGCTTGCTTCTTAAGAATCCCTGCATGGAAAACATTTTTGCCTATTGAAATAAACTACCATCTGCTGCAATTCATCACACCTATATGTTAATGCAGTCGAAAGCAGCATAAAAACACGAGCAGTTCAGAAGATGAATGCCGGCTGAACTTTAATCGCCGTCGATGTGGAGCTGCGATAGAAGCACATGCAGGAAAAACACACTCTATTAGAGGTGTACAGTAGGTGAGGTGAAAACTCAAGTTGCAGCTGCATCGGTGTCACACAGAACCTTTCATTGTACTCATTAAATGTTACCTACTGTCTTGGCAGGTGAGCGAGGCTGGCTTCCCTGTGACAGGTGTCGCAGACATGCAGCGAGGAAGCAACAAGCAAGATGTCGATCCATGAAGACAGAGGCAAGGGCGAGGAAAGAAAAAAGAGGCAGCGAACAAAAGAAAGACAAAAAAACAATCCAGACGCTTTGAGAGCAAAAAACATGCAAAATCATGGAGAAAAAAAAAAAAACGTTTGACAGTGAGCATTAATCAGGAGGGAAATCAAAAGAACAGATGGTGACATTAAATGAATAAAATGTGGTAAGATTTATGGTCATTATGTGCATGTATGAAGTGTATTGGAGAGCTTAAAAGTTAACAGTGTGAAGTAAACGACAGCAGGCTGATGGTATAACATTTACTCTCAAGGCCATTAGAGCAAATGAGCCACTGTGCAGTAAACACTAAAGCAATCAAATGCTTGATGAAGAGCATATTGATTGAGAAAGAGCAAAGGAGATGAGACAAATATGAGAGCAACGTGAGCAAAGTAAAGCTCCTTGTTGCACTTACCTGCTTTCATCATATAAACGCTTCAGTCAAACCGATCATTTCTAGAGCTGGTTTGTTTTGTTTTCCGCCTCTTCAGTCAGCTGCTCAAGCTTGTGTTATTTTTTTTTCCTAGCTCGCCACCTTTAAGGAGCCACGTCAATAATTATCAGAGACAACTGTGAAGCGGCAGAGAAGGCGCCACCGCAAGGGAGGATCAAGTGAGTCCGGACAAAAACCTTGCTGCCTGCAGGGCTCTTCTGAGTCTTTCCAAAATCTCCCGAGCAAACACAAAAAGATCTCTATCTTTTCAGTGTCAGAGGGCAAATCTAAACCACTTCCATTGAGTGGCTGGGTCACTCCCCGTGTATCACACTGTAGCTTCTCAAAGCAATCTTCAAATCTGGATTAAGCAGGGGATTAGAGATCAGATATGAGAAGGTGCCGTCACCTTTGTGGCTGGTGTTACATACAGTTCCTCCCTTGCTGTCCCTTTCGCTTTACAGCATTTTTGTGCCACACAAACCTGCTGTCTGAGGCCAGAAAACACACAAATGAGGTTCCGTTGGCACGAGTCGCACAAAGACAAAACCTCTTCTCGCCCTCTTTCCTGTTCACTAAAGTACAAATACACTGAAAGGCAAATTGGGACATGATAAGGTGAGGGTGTTCCAGCAGCGTTCGAATCAGCAAAAGTGATGAGACGATGAAATTATATTAGAACCGGGGATCAGGAGGGCTAAGGCTATCACATTGGGTTGCCTGATTGGAATTTGCAACAATCTCCTTTGGGCAGAACTTTTCTTCCATGAGATAGTCGGAAGTCTGTGGTCCGCCTCAGCACTTTTCCTTCTATCCGCAAATCCCTAAAACTATTTTAGCCCCTGGAGTTTGGACTTTGGTCTACAGAGTATTGATAGCTCAGCACAAAGGGGACAAAAAAAAATGAGACCGGGAAGTGAAATAGCATATAGAGAAAACTGGACAGATCTTCTGCCATTTGAACTCCCAATGAGCTTCGGAGACTCTTTGTGTGGAGAGGTAGATGAAGCCGTCAGGAGCAAACACTATTTGGGCCTAACTGCTGTGATAATAAAGGACTGGCTCTGTTTTTATAATTGATACATAATAAAGGGATCCAGGGATAGAGAAAATCAGAGAACGGAAATCCTCTCTGTGTTACAATAGTATGTTAATCCACAGAAATATAAATGCTGATTTAACGTATTAAAGTATCAAAGAAATGACCTCTATAAGTAACATGCCCTCACACGCGGCACAGAGGCTCGGCTTTAAATTTATTAAAACTCTGATCACTTACTTGGACGAGTTTCCAAGGATGTGTGTGTGTGTCCACATGTGCGCATATCATTAAGTGTAACACATCTCGGTGTGTGTGTGTGTGTGACGGATTAACTTAATTAGCAGTGGCTGTGGCTCAACTGGATAGAAGCCTCTTAAGAGAGAGCGCTGTGATTTCCAGTAAAGCTGGTACATCTTTAACTTCTGAAACAATCAGACGTTCTCATAGTCTGTGTATGAGGGCAGCATTACACAAAACACAGGCGGTTCAGAAAGTTTTTTAATTAACAGTTGAAGCCAATTACATTTACATGGATGGTGTGTGCGTTTGTGCTTTCCACACATAAGAGTTGGTAATTGTCTTCTGTTAGTTTGTGGGAGTGTCCCTCCTACGCAAAGCGGATATTAAATTGCAATCAAATGTGTGTACATGAGTCAGTCTTACACAGGAGGATAGCTAATTGTTTGGATTATGTGGGAGTGAGTGGGTGTTTGTCTTACCCACGTAGAGCTGGCTGAACAGCTCCAGTCGTGTGTGTCCCTGCGCAGGAGCCAGCTGGGACGCCCGGTAAGTCTGATCCAGCTGCAGGACCGCTTCCTTGACGTTGCGCTCGGCCATCACGCGGTGCCACTGGTCGTCGTTGAGGGGCGTGGCCGAGTGCACGGTCAGCTCCACGGGTCCGTTTCCAACATCGAAGGAGAAGGAGACCACCTTAGGAGCTGCAGAAAGAGGGAAAGAAAAAAACACATGAAACAAACATCACAACTTTCCAAAACCTATAACTCCTTGTTCTGTCATAGCCCACAATGTAGGTAGATATGCATTCAATTTCTAATCTAATGGCTCATTTGTTTCCAGGCCATTCATTTGGCTCGTATAGATTTCAGCTTTGCAATACACGACTGCTCACAGCTTCGGACAGGGCTAATCTCACAGGCTGTCGATAGGTGCCAAGAAATGTTGGTTTTGCATGACATAAATTTGTATCGCAGCAGTTTAAAATGTGTTTTTTCCCCCCGTCAAGTTATCAGATTTTCCCCTAATTTTGTTGGGGAGAGGAAACAATAGATGAAAAAAAAAAAAAAAAAAGAAATAACAGGAAAAGCATTTAAATAATAAGGAAAGAAAAGGTAGAAATGGAAAGGTGCAAGTTGGCCTTGGTTTTCTGCACAATTAATTTTCATTATCTGAAGCTGAGTGGATGTGTGTGTTTGTGTGAGGTTCTTGGGATGTGTTCAAGCTGTGGGATTGTCATAGAGTTTAGTGCTACTCCGTAGTTAAATAGCCTAATATTTCAGCACACCAAAAGGGGGCACTGCTACACCTTTTATGTCCACAACCAGGTAAATGTTCATTGATATTTCTGAATTGCTGTGTGTTTGACCCCCCACCACCTGTCCGCTCCAGATGTTTTTTTGCCACGCCGTTGGTAAGGTCACTGTCCGATGCTTTTTTACATCTCTGGAGGGAACAGTGATGAATCTGGACATTGTGTGTGTGTGTGTGTGTGTTAAGACAGAAAAATGAGCGGATAAAGAGTCAGAAAATGCTGGTGTGGGCTTGCTTAGATTTAAAACTGTATCTCCATTTAATACAGTTAAGTAAATAGCCGGACAATGCAAACTATAAATGTATACTATGTAGATAACACACAGTTTTATATGCATGTATTGTAAAGTCGAGTCTTTTCTGCACAACGTCGGTTCAGCGTTCCCTTGCCACTGCAATGTTAAAATCTGTTTGCCTTGGATGATAAAAGAAATGAAGCAACAATGAGAAAACAAGAAGGAAATTATTTATTTCTTTATTTTACTGCTTTAAAGGCCATTTACAAGTGACAAATTAAAACCCAATTGGACTCTTTTCTTAATGTTTGGTCTCCTATATAAGAGCTATGCATTCTGGGTGGTGCCACATGGGGGGTATTGGCACCAATGTGCTGCAGCCACAGTGATGATAAATAGCTCTATATGTTACCGGCTCATTATGGCTTCATTAGACTCACTGTTTGAGTGGATAATATTATGCAGTACTCAGTGGGGAAATGAACTTGCTTCTTTAGCTTCGCCCAATCAATATGCCTGGCCTTTTTCTCCTTTTCATATTGCTTTCATCTAATTATCTTTTATCATTCATGTATTCTTCCATTCTTTGGCCTTGAATCGTTCCTACAGCAAACGTAGCTCCTCTGTTTCTTTTTTATCCCCGTTTGTTCCTTCATAGATCTCTCACTTTGTTCCGTGTTCCTTCGCCTTCTCTGTTATTTCTTTCCTCTTTTTGTCTACCCATGTATCCCTCGAGTCTTTCCTCCCTTCCCTGTATACTTCTTTTTCATACTTTCATTTCTTAAAGACACCCTCTGGTGAAAATTACATTTTGTACTTGTATAACATGCCCATATGGTGCTTTTTTTAAATCTGCTAAAAGACACCTCATGAGCGAAATAAGCAGTCTGCACCATGGTTCAGCATTTACATCTTGAAACAGCAGTGAAGTGATGACAGCAAAAACACATCAGACTTCTGCAATTTCATATTGTGATGGCTGCACTTGGCACCTTTTTTTTTGACACCCATACTTCCCTGCATTTCCAACAGCATAATTTGTTAAGCATTGGTTGAAGTACAATAAGTTGTACGAATTCTGTTAGTTTAAACAGTACTAAGGGTATCGTCCTTCTGCTGTTGGGGTCATCTAGTTTGTGGGGAAGGATGATGCAGGAAGCAGAAGAACTGACCGTACCAAGTGTCTGCGACATCAAGGGGTAGACCGGGGTTGTTCGATGTAAATATATTATGTAAATCATTTGACTCCCATTTTGGGCGATTGTTCAGATTTGCTTAATGTTGTCATTTGAATTCGTAGTCAGGCTGTGCTGTTGTTTTGTCTTGAAGTGTTTTTATGTTTACCCCCATTCTAGTCACATGGTTTGATCTGCCACTATGTAATCTTTTATTCCCCATTAGTCTGGTCAGTTTGGAGTTTTGCTTGTTAGGTTGGTACAATTGGTCTGCGAAGGCATTATGATATAATAGCCTTACTTTAGTTCTGTTTACTAGACCTCTTGCAAAGGTCAAGAATAATCGTGTTCACTTCTGTAAAAAAAAACTGTACAATATCCTCCACCTGCTTTGCAGCTCAGTTCCTCACACATACTTTATCTACTAAACCTATAGAACCAATCATGTCAAATTGTGGAGTAGGACTTTCTGATTAATTCTTCTTCTTTAGAATAACTTCATAGTTCCAGCATGGGACATTGGATCTCAAATGGTTCAGAAAATATCACGAGTGAACTTCTGCATCATTAATTTTTTTGTTGTTGTTATAATCAGATGCTATTTTATCTACTTGTTCGATATTGTAAAATCAAATCAAGGCCATAATGAGAAATAAGAGTGAACATTTCAGGCTTTTTTCTTTAATGGTTCCTGAGATATTGTCATCCAAACGTCAAATAAAAAATTTAATGTTCAAAAAACACACTGAAAGTGAATCCACAGGCATTTAAAAAAAAAAGAAAAGTTCTTGTAAAATGCTGGATATATAAACCTAAAATGTCACAGGCACCATTATTTGTATTTTTAGTTCATGATGAATAAAAAAATCAAGCAGAACAGCCACCTTAGTAATAAAACATGCCATTTTGTAGCATAGAGCAGTTTTACAGTGTTTAAGCAGAGCTGTAGGTGAGCTGGTGTGCTCAAGCTGCAGCGAGTGGGGAGGAGTGGATGGAAAAAAAATGGTGGGGACTTCATAAATCTGCACGTTCTAAAAGGGTTAGAGAGCTGTACAAAGGCGTAGAGTTACATTTAAGCCTTCTTAAGCCTTGACGGGATTAATTTCATAGAAAAAAAACCTTAAAAATATCTAACTTTGACACACAGACATGAGATTTTAGGGGTTTAATCAGTGACCTAGATGAACATTAATTGTCTGTTCATTTGTTTTTTCGTGCTTTCTTTCACAATCCATCTGTTCTCAAACTCTTCCTGTAACCTTCCCCCTCCTATTCTCCCTTCTCTCCTCTATTCGTTTCTTGTAGACATTAATAGATGAGATACAGGAATAAGAACTTATCCTACAAAAAGCCTGTGTGCTGAGTACATTAACCCATCAGATAAATCTGAAAAAAAGTGCTTACACATTTAAGTACCTACATATAGCAGCATGCAGACACACACACACATAGACGCACACACACTGCATAAACCCTCTGACAGCCTTTAGTGCACTGAATTAATGACGTCTGTATGCACAGAGCAAGTCTGCAAGGCAGGGAGGAGTGACATCAGTTATTTTAAACGCTGCTGAAAGAAAGCCAAACATATATCACAATACCACAATAGAAACAAAGCTACGGCAATGCTGCATAGCAACGCTGAAGTGTGTGCGTTTGACAATGCGTGTGTTGTTTTAGCAGCGCTGCAAAGCAAGATGTATGCCTTACAACTTCCTGTCCACAGGCAGGAATAAAAACTAAAGTGCCCTCGGAGCACAGAGCCTGTCGCATATATTTGCACAGCCAATGATAGATGCCACGAGTGTAAATGTATGTGCGAATGTAATTTTGCATATGTATGTCTGCATACTTGCATGTTGGCCTGGAGAAAACCCCGCTTTTTTCCCCCCTCTATTTGTTTTTCTATTAATCTTTTAATATGGAGACAAGTTATAAATTATGCGTCAGCGCAGCAAAATAAAATGATGACAAATAGTGACAGAGCCTCTTAATATCTCTGTGTGCATATATGTGTTTGTGTGTTTTGCTAATGTGGAGTTTAATTCTGCTCTCTCAGATTGATTTTCAGATGGCTGACAGCGTATTATCTCTCTGTTATCTTTTCTGTGATACTGGCTAATTCTTTGTTGTTTGTCTCATTTGCTTTATTAACATTGTTCCCTTCATTTTTTTTCACCCCCACACATTTGTGTTACAGCTGGAACACCCTTCATCCAACCCTTGAAGGATGGATTTAGCCAATCTCGGAGCACCGTGGCAAAACCCACTTCCGTTGAAGACAAATTTAAAGCAACTTCTTAAAAGCTAAGCATTTCTTAGCGACAAAAAAAAAAAAAGACTCTTCAAATAAAACTCTCTTGTGCTTATCGGACTGAAAAAAGTACACGCTCACAGTGAAAAGAATCTCGACTACTTCTCAGTCGAGACATTGAACAGATACAGCGAGATAAAGATTAACGGTTTTTTAGAAGAAGAGGAGGAAAAAACTTTCATAATCTTTCTGGGTTGCTTAGTAGATTGCTAGATATTGCTTTAACAAGTCAGAGAGGCATCTGACAAAGCTTGCATTGCTACTGCTAAACTTCACATGTAAACTTTGTGCGTCTGGTCTTCAAATAATAAAAAAATAAAATAAACAGGCAGTTTCTTAAGCAGAGGTCTCGAGCGGGAAAGTACATTTCTCAGCTGGAAACCAGACTAAGAATGTTTATAACCTTTGGGCGTGACTATCGCTGAAAATACAGCCTCTTAAGGACATGGCAAATGGCACGTTCTTTCCCTTGAGCTGCCGAGCGTCCCACAAGTCAAGCATTTGTGTATTTAGGGATCTACGGTATCTGTCTTCAGTCCGGTTCATAGTTGTGGATGTGCTTTCAGAGCTGCCTCTCAAGTGTATCTTTGCCTTCTTCTTACTATACTGAGATTCAGAGAGGAACAGTGTCCACTTGATGACTTTGAGTCGGCGGAGGTCACAGTAATGTGTGCGTTTGTGCGATGGCTTTTGCGCGCGCCTCGGCGAGTGTGTGTTTATGCGCTTTGAGCTCCTGCAACGGCCACAGCCATGCTATTCTAGCTTAATGCTAGTCATTTCATGCCCTGACTGGATTGCAGCAGATAGAGCCTTTTGCACCAGCGAGAGGGCAGAGATTATGTGTGTGTTTATGTGTGTGAGTGTGCATGCGAGTCATTTCGCGATTGTGTGTCTAAAACGTGTGCTGTGGGGCAAAATGCAAGATGATAGCGAGGGAGAGGAGAGAGGAAATCGATGTGGGGGCATTTTGAAAGCCTCGGGAGACACATGCGCACACATACACTGTGCAGCTGTGACAGGATAGATACCTACTGTATCTTTGTGTGTGTTTTGTGCAGCTTGTGTGCACACTTGGAAGACAAATACCAAACCCCTTTAGCGGATTTCTCACAGTACTTGCATGTACAGTATAGTGCCAGCACATCGTTTTTTTGTTTTCTTTTTCTGCAAGAATCGATTTGTGAATTTAAAGGTGTGTATTTGACTGCAAGAAGGTATTAAGAAAGAAAATTAAAAAAAAAGCTTATGGAGCTTTCAGACCACAAACCGGCTGACATAATGCCATTCAGCGTAATGGCTTTGGACAGCACTTTGGCTTGAAATTGCTCTGTCAACTTTGTGTCCGTCCGCCGGTTGAAACTTTGTAGCGAAAAGAGTGGGCACCACCAGGAAATGGTCAGCGAGTGCTTTTGACACCAAATGCTCAGATCCCTTTGAATCCCAATGAAATGCAATTAGTCATCAATCGACAGCCGTGCGGTGCCAGGAACTCCCTTCACTATGCAGCTCCGTGATTAAATTGAAGCCCAAGATTTTAAAACTCTTGATCAGAACGGCTCCACTGTCGCCGCAGGGAATTTAATTTGAGCGGCTGGAACGTGATCAAAGAAACCTGCTGCATATAATGTCAATCATAAGTCTCAGAGAGGACTTTGAGACTGTGAAATGGGGTAATGCGAAGCTGTCCCATTGTTTGTCCCATTGTTGGTTGTTTAAAAAGCGCCGCTCCTCCGTCACCATCCTTTCCATTTTTAGTTTTGACAAATCTGACAGTTTTGTCTGTTGAAAATACGAATCGATGCTCTGGTTCTGATAGTGAGCTCCTTTCTTTGAAAACAGTTGATGAAACTGCGAGAAAAACAAATCTCTTATTGAATCTTTTGTCTGTCTTTTCCTCCGTTTCTTTTTTATTAGCCCAGAGCATGCACACACCATTCAAGTCGCAGGCTCATAAGTTTTATCCTGAGCCGGCTGCTCCTTTTGCACACTGAGAAGACAAACAGGAGCCATTTGAGGGAACTCATTTTCCCCACCTGCGTTTTCCACCAAAAGAACAAGGGTGTAAATTAAGTTCTGGGAAGATAGTTTTAAGTGCCTCAAAAGTCCCTGCTTGCTGTGGTACTTTCTGAAGGTTAAGAAAGCCTGAGAGCGCCGGGATTACAGCGCAGAATTTTGCCATTTGGTTAAGTATGTTTGTGTTTTTCCTCAGCACTGATACACTCCCAGCCTTTACAAGAAAAAAGAGACAAACATGTTTTTTTTTTTTGCAGTTTGTGGCCGACAATAATTTGGATGGAACAGTAAGAGCTTTTAGGACTAAAGCTTTCCGACTACAAAGTCCAGTCCTTTTTTCTTTCTTTTCTTTTTTTAAATTCTTGCAATATTCAGAAGGAGTTTGAGTCTGGTGACCTTTTGATATGTCAGCGACCTAATTTGCTTAATCGTTCCAGAGCTTTGGCCCTGAGTCCACTGTGTGCTTCGTGACAATTCATTTGCAGCACTAGAGTGGTGAGCTGAACTTATTGAATCGTGTTCATTTCATTGGTCAAAACATATCTGATTTAACCTTGTCAACTAACCAGCTACTAAGCAGGTCTTCCAATATTTTTTAAAAAAGAGAAGTATGTGAGAGATTAGATATAAACCCAATAGACCTCAACTGAGCACTTAAGCATACATTTTCACTTATTTACCAACTTTTTTTTTTGTAAAAAGAGCCCAAATTACCTCATTTATTTGAGCCAGAACCTGCAAACCTGTAAAGAAATGTCAGATTTTCAACCTTCCCTGAACTACTCATCTATGACATGTCATTTTGTCAGAAAACATAACCGACTCTGAGCTTAATGTTGTGACATTTTTATCAATTTGTTCTACATGTCCAATTTAAAAAATGAATCATTTATACTAACTGGATTTGGTTGAAAAAAAAAAAAAAACCCTCTGCCCTCCCCGGTGCAATAATGAAGCCATTAATGACTCAGCTGTGCCTAAAAGTCAAGTGACAAAAATTCAGGAACTGTTTAGCTTAATTGGGCTGAAATGCAGAGTACAGATAGGATACAGCTATGGAATTAAAAATATAAGTAATAGAATATCTTCAGTATGTAGAGTCACTATTTTCTTGGTCACAACCTGGAAAAATGATGTAAATTTTGATTCCAAGTTTTCCCAAAGTATAATAATAATAAATAATCTGAAAAATGTAACTTTTAAAAATGATTATTTTATGATTTTTAGCATTATAACTTTGATATACTGCAAACAAATTGTCTTTACTTGTAGAAATAGTTGCGCTATTTTCATAGAGGTGCAGGACTTTCTATTGCAGTGAAAAATGAGCACACAGTGAGTACAATTTATAGAAAAACTCCCAGAAACTGCAGGGGGTTTAGAGCTAATGCTAATAATAATGCTAATAATTCTTTTTTAAATAATTCTTTCTCTTGTTTTTGAGTGCACAAGTGTGTGTTTGCGTGCTAAAGATTGTTCAAAAAGTGAACGTGAAACTGATGCTTAAACAATGAACGCTGAAATATATAGAATTCACTAATGTACTGTGCCACCCTGTGTGTGTGTGTCTGTGTGTGCTTGCATGTGTGTTGTGCTGGTAAAGGTTGCGAGGTCTTTTGAGAGATTTAAATGCTTCTATTTGCAGATTTTTTATTTTCTATTTTTTGAAAAGAAGGAGAGCGATGGAAGAAGAGAGAGAGAGAGATGGCAGGTGGGTGTATGTGTGTGAGGGAGCTTGTGTTTTGTCATCCCTGAAAATGGGTGATTTGGTTAAACAGAGGTTCATAATGGACATAATTATTGCACACACCAATTACCTTAAATAAATGATTGCTCTGTCTTGCAATCACACAAAGCGTCTGCTATAATCAGGAAGGCAAATGACTGCTGCTGGTGTGTGCGCCTGCATTAGCCTTTCTGTCTATGTGATCCTGAGAGAGAGTGTGTGTGTGTGTGTGTGTGTGTGTGTGTGTGTGTGTGTGTGACAGGTTGAGCTCAACATGATCACACGGACTGCTGGATTAAACCTCACACTAAGCCAGATATAAGAGCCCGAGTAAGAGAGAGAAGAAGAGAGACGGAGAATTACAGAGAAAGAATCTCACATTTGAGCTCCAAGCGAATGAAGTCAGTGTTGCCCAAGTTCTCCAAGAAGACGCCATAGGGCGCGCTCGTCTTGAAATAGAAGGAGATGTCGGCGCTGATTTCACCCTGGAAGGTGGCAAAGTGCAGGTACGATGACGGGGTGGTGAATGATGCAGCGTTCCAGTAGTTATCTGTGAAAAAAAAAAAAAAGAAAGAAAGAAAGAAAAAAAAAGACACAATCACAACTCTGAGCCCACATCTCTGCAACACCCTCCATTAGCGCTGTGACAAACATTATAACCCATTCTGATCTGATAAGCCGCAGAATAAATTCACTGTAGAAATGGTTTCATTTTCAAACGGCTACACATCCATTTTCATTTCATTCAAGAGCCATCAATCTATTCTGGGGAAATATTGTTATCTCATGTTTTGTTGTTTAATGTGGCTCATTTAACATCTCCTCAGTAAAAAAAAAAAAACATGATTTCATCACCTAAACTTCTGTTTCTTCACAGAGGTTTAAACGTAGCCTGTAATTTCCTGCAACATTCAATCAGTAGTTGATCATATCAACATAGCAGGGAGAGATCATTTCTTTTCCTCTAAATGAGGACCTGAAAAAGGGAAGATGAGGGTGTGGACAAAATGTTGAGGGATTTCTGATAACTTCTCTAATGATTTCTGAACGAAGGGAAACCAGGGGCAACTAATGAAGACGAAGTAGCGGCACGCTAAACAGCTGCTGATGAATTATCAGACTGTGGTTGATGAAGTGACTTCTCTGCTGTCTTCTCTCCTCTCGCCATGTCTCTGTCTTGCTCCTATCAGTCAAAGAAGATGAGGAGTAGGAGGCTGGGGGTGGGGGGAAGAAGGAAAGGAGAGGAGAGAAGACAGAAGAAACGAAAAGAGGCCAGGCACGGGTGAGAGGATGGAATATTGGAGAAGCGATGGAAAATAGGAGAGTAAAGTCATGCAGAGGGCGGATAGGCGGGGAAAGGAAGAGGAGCTGAGGGGGCATGTGGAGGGCAGGAGGAGGAAGAGAAAAGTGAAGGCTAATGTGGTATCAGCTGAGTGAGATCTCTTTGATGCCTTAGAGGATTGGCTCAGACCCTCCACTGCAACCCTGGAAAACAGGAACAGCTGTGTATAGGAGCGAAGAGTGTGCAGTCTGTGTATGCCTGCAACGAAAGAATGATTTAACTGTAAGTTAAAATCAAATAATCTGCACAGAAATGCATCTTTATGTCTAAAAGATGCTGTAAAAGTGACAAAAATCCTTATCTTGTTCCAGCAGGAATCCAAATTCAAAAACATTCAACTTCTAAAACAAACAAAAGCCACAAATATTGAGATGCTTGTGCAGAGAACACAAGTAAGTTTTCTAAATGGCAAATGCTGCCGGCTATTAATCGACTTATTTCAACCCTTGCCTGCCCCGTCCTTTTTAGTGTGAGCTTACAGTTATTCTCAAATGTATTCATACCCTTCCATTAAAGAAAAGGCAAAATTCACAATAGTCACTCAAACAACTGGAAACTGAAAAACGTAATATTAAATAAAAATTTTCTAAATTATAATTTAGTCAAATAAGACATTGTGTTTGAATTGTGGTTGAAAAGAATAATTTTAAAAAACAAAAAAACTGTCCCGGTCAAATTACGGCACTTTGCTGATGAGCAGTGGCCCAAAATCAAAATACCTGTCAACAGGTGCAGAAGTCGGATTGAGTTACAGAAAACACTTCATTGCAGTGATTGGCTCAAAGGGTTGTTCAACAAAATTTTAGTTTACGGGTCGCAACATGCTTGTTTGCTTTTTTTCCCCCTAATATTTCTGTTAAACCGTAATTCAAAAGCAATGTCACCATGATGTTCATGACATTTTGAATTATAATTACTTCTATTATTACTTTTTTCCCCCTTCTTTAATGGTATGAATACAATTGAGGACAACTCTACATGTGCAAAAGCATTCACATGCCGTCGGCGTGCTCGCTGCCCTTAGCGTGCACCAGTGTCCGTGCATCCCTGTGTGTTCGTCTCCTGGTTCAGTGTGATAAGCGTCCCAGAACGACAGGGTTAAGCTCCTCCCCTCTCCTTCCTGCCTCCCATCCTTCCCCACTCCACTCACCAGGGGCAAGGGTAGACAGTAGCCAAACACACACATTCACAGACCCACACACACACACACACAGACTACCACCCACCGATGCTGTCGCTGTGATTAGTGTGTTTGAAGTTGGAACACTGCTCATTCCTCTATGGGAGGCACAGCCAATTATTGAGCAGGGTTAATTCAGGACTAAACAGGGGGACGCCTGCAGAGTCGGCAGAAACGAATAATTATTTGTTTACGATGATCACGGAAGAAAGGAAACCGGAGCCACATAGTTGGCAGCATTACAATGATTCTAAGAAACTGATGGTTGATAAGAGCGTATGCATGGCTGAAAGTTAGAGTGATGATGGAATTTTACTAGAAATATGTAGTATATTAATATACAGATGCACAGATGTTCAGTTTTCGTTTGTGTTTCTGTGTGAACAAAGATAACATTACAAAAAAAAAGTTTCATGTACTCTGCTATTTATTTATATGCACTCAATGAGACCATAAAAGCTTCAAGCAAGAGAGTAAAGGCTGACAATGATATAGCGAGCAAGGACACTCGGATATAGAAATACAGCTCGCAGGCGAGTTTCCTCCTTGAAAGAGGGAGAGACAATAAGAGGGGGGAAAGAAAGAAACAAGTGGGAGGAAAGCGAAATTGCTCAAAAGGGATCTATGGTGTGAGAAGCAAAGGGGAAGAAAAAATTAGGGGGTTGACAGAAACTGGGTGCTGGAGAGAAAACAGCTTTGGAGGAGTAAACACGGAAGCCAAATCATGAACTTCTGATCACCCTTGTGCCAGATTCACAGATGCAACTGGTTGGCAAGGCTCTGTGGCACATTTATCACTCCCATATTGAAGTGCTTATCAAAACAAATGTTTCAAAAACAGATCCAGCACATGAATGTGTTTCCTGACTAAGACATGACCAATATTAGACCATTAGTCACCATGCTTAATAACTTGCTTGATATTTAAAGGCAAGGCAAACTAAGGTGACGCCTCACATTTATTGACTTAAATTCCATCAAGCGAGTCGGATACGAACAGCCGTATGCCACACCAAACAGGAGACGATTAGCCTCGGAGTACAGGGAAGTCATTATGTGCTATTGGGAACTCTTGTCTGTAAGCGAGCCATTTCCTCTAAGGTGTGAAAGCCTTACAGTACATAGAAACATTACATAGCAAAGGCTTTTAGGAAGTGTGCCAAGACAAGCTGAGTTTCCTTGACAAGCTGTCTTTCTCTCTAATTCGTTCTCATTGCAAAGCCGATAGGGGAAAAGCTCGTCCTATTGCCACTTCTTCTCCTGGCTGTCCTTGGACTCTTAATGTCGGTTGCGCTGCTTTTGCACAAGAGTGCGTCAGATGTGCTTACAGTTTGTCTGTGGCCTCTGTTGCTGAGCTACATGGTTGTTCGACGTTTCATTTGCTGGAAGTACTGGGTAATGGAATGCACTTAGTTTCTTCCTTCTTTCAGAAGTTTGACCTAACATTTCATGGTCTCAAAGAATCTCCCAGTGCTTCCTTATGACCTCTAGTACTTCCCATCCAAGTGTACTTAACACTAAACACCATTTGAAAAGCTTTACCGTGAATACAAGACATGAGAGCTGCATAGACAGACACTTGGTGAAAAACTGACACTGTGTGCAAGAACCGTTTGCTGTCTGGATGAGAGAACCGCCATCATTTAGCAACGTGCAATGATACGAAATACACTTGTCCCTCTCAGGTCGTTGACTAAAACCCTAAAAAGTCCTCATGAAAATAATGCCTCCCCTCCTTAAAATGGCTCAGATGTAAGAATGCATGGATCTACGTCATCCCTGCCTCTTTCTCTCCACTCACAGCAGCTCCAGCTCACCGTCTAACCTACAACTATGCTCAGACACTGTAAAATTCAGCCAGACATTTTCTAGCTGCGAACTGATTCTGAAGAAGAACAGCGGTATTGGATGGTGGTGTATAATGGGATAGAGAGCTTCACCCGACAACTTCACAGAAATGGTTTCTGAGATTTGCGACACATGAGCTGCAAAGCATGAGGAGTCGAGGATTCTGAAAACAGGGGCTTCATTTTTCACCCAAAAAAAATAACACAAATGAGGTTAGAAAAGCCAGCACTGAGGCTCTGGACACAATAAAGGTAGCAAATTAACAGAAGTGAACTAAGGCGATGATAGAAAAATAACCTGAAAAAAACAACTGCACTGATCTAACAAATTGAGATCAAAAAGGGGGCATATGTCCTGGCTGATCAAACCATGCAATCACAGTAGGGGAAGCATCAAAACACCTAAACTAACTCTGCTAATCAAAATAACAACAAATCCCCTCAAAAATATCTTAAAATGTAAGTCAATGATTCACACTATAACCCCAGTCCTCCCTTGATGTGTTGGACATTTGATATAGCCTCATCTCTGGTATGTAACACTGCTGCTTCCTTGGCTTCATCCTTTGCTGGAATACTGCCAGATGACCCAGCAGCATAGGTATTATACCCCCAGCACCGGAAAAACAAAAAGAATTAGTCAGACTTTAGAAAAATTAATTTAACATATTGTTGAATATGCAAAAGTTAGCTAAATGTGTGTGCTACAAATAGAAGTTGATGCAACAAGTGCTAACTAAACCATAAGTATGTTGTTTAAAATGTACAACGTGTGTCTGAAAAGTTTCAGGACTGGTGTCACAAAAGATATATTTCAAATCCAAACTCTAGAGTCTCGAGTCTAACGCACTTTCCCAGCCTTCTCTGCCACGCCGCCATGCACTCCTGGAAAGATTCTTCCGGGATCCTCCGCAGCTCCGTCATCACAGCCATCTTGATGTCGTCCATGTCTTCAAAACGGGTCCCCTTGATGACCCCCTTGGGCTTGGGGAAGAGGAAACAATCCCACAAAGCGAGGTGGGATGAGTAGGGAGGTTGCTCCAGCACGGCGACGTTCTTCTGAGCCAGAAACTGTCGGATGCTCAGGGCATTGTGAGCAGGCATGTTGTCATGGTGAAGCAGCCACGACTTGTCCTGCCACAACTCTCACTTCTTCTCTGAACAAAGCAAACGCTGCAGGA